TTTTTAACTAAATCTATAGTGATAAATTTTCACGATCAATCACTTAAATTATTCATAAATAATTGCTAATTAAGCATGTTAAAATGATTGCTCTTTTAATTTTATGAGCTTTAATGTAATATCACAGAATAAATAAACTACAACAGACACTGATAAATTCCCCATTTTTTTTTTCAGTTTAAGCATTATATATATAACATTTATGTATAAGTAATACGTCTATTGATATTATGATAGTAACTAAATTAAATAACAAGCATATTACCAGTGTTCAGAACTTTCACTAAAAAAATGAATTCGTTCACGTTCACGGTCAGTCCTTAAAAAAGGAACTCATTCATGTTTTTTCAAACGAATGCGTTCACGTTCACGTTCTTTGAAAAAATGAACGCATTCATAAGGTCGTTCATATAATTTTTTGTTTGTAAATAGTTTATCAGCAGTTTGTATAAAAACCCATAAACATATAGGTCTCAACCCAAAAATAAAAACAATTTAGACTTTAGAGCATATACATTTTCTAAAGTATCTAAATTATATACATATTAACATATTATATTTATTAAATAGTAAATAAATTTGAGCGTCTTCAAAATCGTTCAAATTCATTAAAAATATAAACGTCGTTCACGTTCTGTTTTAAAACATGAGCGACGTTCGCGTATCGTTCACTAACTATGAACGTGAACGTGTGAACATGCGTTCATGAACGACAATCTTTCCAAACAATGCATATTACCAACAATAAGTTTTTGAATTCATATAAGAACTTCCTATGATATTCTTTATGTATTAGTCATTCCTAATAATAAGTTTTTATTTATGTTATAGAAAGCTACATTGATACCGGGTGGTTCTGAATCTCTTGTTTATGCTACTGTCACTGGTACCATTGGTGTTCTTGTGCCGTTCACTGCTCATGAAGAACAAGACTTTTTCCARCATCTTGAAATGCATATGAGATCTGAGAACCCACCACTTTGTGGAAGAGATCATTTATCGTATCGATCTTACTATTTCCCCGTAAAAGTATGCAAATTAATCAATCATTTTTTTGTGCGATATTTCCTGTAATTGTTATTTCTTTTTGATTTAGAATGTTTGTGATGGTGATCTCTGTGAACAATATAATTCTATTGATATTGCAAAACAGAAAAGCATTGCAGCAGATCTCGACAAAACACCTGCTGAAGTTTCTAAAAGACTTGAAGACATTAGGACAAGATACGCATTTTAAATTATTACCTATCTTAGTTTTTTGTATCATATTTATTTTAAACAATTTAAAATGTAATTATTTTTATTTTTATTCAATGAGTTGTTCAGTTAAAAGTAACAAAATGTCTAACTTTGTTAAAATAAGTTCCTGGTCTAAGCACACTATGTCATGTTGAATACTTTTTATGTGTAATAGATTATTCATAAGACCATGATTTGTTTTAACATCATATACTATTGAGTTCACCAAATAGTTAAGTAAACAAATTCTTGACCAAATCATTTTTATTTTTCCTTTTTAATCTTAAGAGGATGCTACACCCGCATGTGTTGTC